TCCATCCATCTATCTATCCTCTATCGATCTATCTATGTATCTATTACTCATCCATCCATCCATCTATTATCTATTTATCTATCTATCTATTCACCCATCCATCCATCTATTTATCTAATTTAACTATGTATCTATGCATCGAATCTATCTATTTGTCTGCCTTTCTGTATGTGTGCGTGTTTACCTATTTATCTAATTTGTCTATCTATTTATTTATCCCATCGATCTAACTACTTATCTAACTATCTACCTACCTATCTATTTACCTTCTTATCTATCTACCTATCTATCTGTCTATCTATCTGTCTATCTATCTATCTATCTATCTATCTATCTATCTACTTTTGTATCTATCTATCTATCCATCTGTCCGTCTATGTTTTTTTGTTATTATCTCTCTATCTTTCTTTCTACCTATCTATCTTTCTATCAATCAATCTATCTTGCCTACCTACCTATCTATCTGCGACCTAGTCAGCGAAGCGGGTGGGAAACAATCTTATTATCTATCTATCGATCTATCTCTTTATCTATCTATCTATCTGTCTATCTACCTACGTATCTATCTACCCCTTTATCTATCTATCTATCTTGCCTACCTACCCATCTATCTGTTTATCTATCTATCCATCCATTCATCCACCCATCCATCTATGCATCCATCCTTCCATCCATCGATCCATCTATCTATCTGTGTATCTATCCACCTACCCATCTACCTCTCTATTTGCTTGTCTATCTGTGTATGTATTTATCTCCCTATCTACGTATCCATTTATTTATTTTATTTGTTTAACTATCTATTTCTATATCTATCTGCCTGTCTATCTATCAATCTCTTTAACTATCTCTTTATCTTTGTCTTTATCTATCTATCTATCTACCTATCTATTTATCTATGTATGAATCCATCTATTCATCCATCTGAATCTATCTGAATCTATCTTTCTATTTATTTATCTACCTATCTACCTGTCTGTGTATGTATATGTATCATACGTGTATGCATATGCATTTTTTGTTTACGCGTATGTGTATTTGTATGTATATGTCTATGTCTATGTCTCTGTCTCTGTCTATACATGCAGGATGGTATACACCCGGTTTCGCAACAGGGTGTATTCGGAGTATGTCCCTACCGGGATGTTCAAGCGACAATGTCCAAATGATTGTCTTGCAGCTGCAGGCATGCAAAGATCACAGCACATTAGCGCCTGAACCGCGTAGGTGACATGTACAGCCTGTACAGTCGTCAGGTTTCTTTCAGAAAGCTGCCGTCATTGAGAACCTGCGTCTTAAAACTCGCATCCTATACGAATCTGGGTAGAAGCAAGGGTCTGTGCTTACCTGCTTGAGGTCTGGGAGGCATGGCGAGTGTACGAAATGATGCGCTGCACAAGCGCAGCTTGGGCAGGCGTTTACTTTCCAGGCTTTCTTTCCACGCTCTAGTGTTCCAACGTTGACAGTCCTGGGTGAAGTCATATTCGTCCCCTTCCCCCCTGGTGTAGCTTTTATCTGCCTTCTGCTTGGCTCCGCCAACAAAAAGGCCTGATCTGGTGTTCGGGTGCTCTGTTTGTAGCCTCGCGTGAGTCAGCTGCGATTGCTTGCTCTTTGTGATTCCCGAAACCGGGGTCACCCACTGAACCCTACACAAACCCACCGTAAAGTCTAAACCCTAAGACTCCAAGCTCGCCGAGGTGTCGTGGAGGGCAGCTACAACTTCTATGACAACCACCAGGGCTGTGGGACGGCCACGGACAAGGAACGCGTTCTCTAGAGGTGATATGGTTTAGGGTTTGGAGTTCATGGTTTAGGGTTCAGGGTCGCCGACATCATGAGTCCGGGTTCTGGCAAAGGGGATCGGTCCAGGGCATGAGTATGGGTTTAGGAGTTTAGGAATCTGGGGCTTGAAGCGTTTGGAGGTTCTGTTCAAGGTGTGTCTAAGAATGGCAGAAGAGCCCTTCTCTATGTAAGCCCTGGACTTCAAGCTTCAATCCTGAAGAATCGGACAAAGTTCGAGCTCGGAGCCCCCAAAAAAGCGCAAGAGCCACCCGAAACCTTACCTTTCTCGAAACCGCATGTTGGAGTCCCCTTAGAGTCCCAGCCACTACAATGCCGGATTCCAGCCATATCTATCTATAATTTGATTCAAACACCACCAAATCCTCAACCCTGAACTCCTAAATTCCTAAGCCGGAGCTCTCATCCCTAAGCACCAAATCCCCAAACCTGAAAATGCTTGATCACTGAATCCCAGACGCCTCAATCCGCAAAGCCTAAATCCCTAAACCCGAAATCATTGAATCCTACACTCCTACTGCCCCCCCTAAATCCTACATTTCTGCGCCCTAAAGCCCGACACATTAAATCTTTAAACCACTAAACCCTCAACGCCTAAGCCTAAAAATCCCTACAGCCCCAAACCGGCAAGTAGAGCGGAGGCCCTGGCGGCACGACTTGGCGGCCACAGCGGCCTGGCCGAGTCTGGAAAGGGTGATTCGGGGTTTTTATGGTTAGAATGGGTTTACTTACGGCACTGAAATGAAGATATACATGTACACCGAGGCATACACAACGTCAACATGTCAATATCAATATCTACATCTGTATATTCCTTTTTTATGTATGTATATACATACATACATACATACATACATACATATATACACATATATTTTGTGTGTATATAGATATATATATATATACGCACATACACATACACATACACATACACAAATGCATACCTACATACCTACCTACCTACCTACCTACCTACCTACCTACCTACCTACCTACCTACCTACCTACCTACCTACCTACCTACCTACCTACCTACCTATACATACATACCTACCTACCTACCTACCTACCTACCTACCTACCTACCTATACATACATACATACATACATACATACATACAACCAAGAGTACATAGGGCTATATGGGAGTCTGTTATGTGTTGTTCAGACACCTGTGTTTCCTGCTTTTGGGAGGGCAGGGGATTTCTATTGGATCGAGAGCGGATTCTTTAGTGGTTTGAGCTGCCCTTCGCGCGGAGGTTACGGACTTCAAAGCTAGTTTTGGTTGGGACTGATCCTTTAGCTTAGCTCAGGGAGTCTTTGCATCTCAGAAGAAAGGCCCCTGAGCTACAATTTCTGGACAGCTAGGTTTTAGTTAGTATCCAGGATCTGCGATACATTATACATCTAGCTGCGCTGATGAAGTATTTTCTGACTGTCTCAAGTTTCTCAAGCGATTGGGTCGTTCTGGGATCACCGGCCCTGTGCCAGTCCGAATATGGAGCTTCTTCAGTCGAACTTGTCCAAACTAAACTCATAACAAATACTGGTTCGGGGAAATACCTAATGATAGCTGTCGGAGTTTGCTGCCCGCTGCCGTTGAGCCGCGCTGCAGGCTACAACATCCTCAGTGGCCTGGCATGTGCTTAGCGCTGCCTGCAGGAGTACATGCACCTGCATGCACATAGGATCATCCGTTGCTCGGGTAGTGCAAGACGTGTCGTGGCGGTGGATGGTGAGAGTTCCAACTTCGTCCTGTTGCTGTTGGCTGAGGCGGCAAGGCCGCTTAGCTGCACGGCCTCGGGCAGATGACGCCGGGGGGCTGGCACCTTTGAAGTTCAGGGTCTCTTTTACGCAGTTGCTGCCCGCGCTGCACATGCACAATCGACAGGCCGCGGCCTCTTCACCGGTTTCGTGTATGAGTTCCTACCACGGATCGGCACTTCAAAAAAGGTTGGGAAAGATGGTTCAGAGAGGGCCAGCTGTAGGAGAGCTTACTTGGGCCGCGTTTGGCATGGTGGTGACTTCGACAGTGTAGGACCACCTTTTGCGATGTCGAGCTTGAGTGACACTATTCGCGTCAAGCTTTGACTCAAATACATGACTGTTGCCTGGAGTTTGCCCTATGTCTCGGTGCGAGGAACATCGTTGCAACGAGAGTTGTTTGTTCTGCAAGGATCGCGATGAGATCTACTTCCGAAATCTTCGCCATGACGAGCACTATATTGACAAGAAAGGCTGCTCGAGATCTGAAGAGCTCCACATGACTTGACTTGGTTGTCGTAGTGTCACACACACACACGCACACACACATGCACACACTCGCACGCTCAAACTCACTCATGCTAGCCTTGTGGCCAGCTTCTTCGTCAGGAATTGCTTCAGCTTCTTTGCTCCAAGCAGTTTTAGAAACCCCAAACCGCTTGCACGGCCCATCTTCATCCTGAACACGCCGAGCTGGTCTCGATTGATCATGCTTATGATGTAATGTAATGTTGTACTGTATAAGACAATGTAATGTAACATAATGCTAGTGGCCCCTGCATTGGACATGCAGCGCTTCAACCGTTTGTGGGTTCAAGACACTGTCTTCCTCAGCTTCTAAACGCTAAATCCTAGCATGCCCATGTCTCAACACCCAATCCTCGCGGAACAGGAAGTGGTGAGCTGTATAGACTAGAGACCCTTCCTGGCCTATTTTGTATAATCTTTTATTGTCTTTGGGCCCAAGATGTAGGCCAACATATATATATATGCATGAATTACTGTAGTCTGAGAACAAACACATTGTGGGTGACTGAGCTTCTGGGTCTCAATGGAGGTCGCCATACCGCGGCTTTTTTTGGAGCCCGTCGCCGGAAGTTCGCGCCGGATGAACGCTTCTGGGCAAGTGAAGGAAGTCGGGCAGCCTGCTCGGAACAAAGCAGAGCTTGAGTCCTCTGGTTCAGGATCTTTCTCAGTGCGTCTCATCCTTGGTTGTTGTCTGAACCTTCATTGTCATTTTTTGATGATGCCGATGATGGTGGTAATGGTGATGATGATGATGATCATGATGTTGATATAATGATGGTGATGATGATGATGATGATGATGTTGAAGCATCTTGGCCCTCGGCCCCAACTGTAGCTCTGCCCTGACGTATGCCGCCATAGACTCCTGAGAGTCAGCACCAAAGCCGAGGTCAGCACATCAGAGATTGCATGACGCTGCAGGACGCTGGCGGCGGACTCTCCCCCCTACTGAAAGTCCACTAACACTGCAACCTCGACAACCGAGCGCAATGCAATAGTACAGTTTGCAGTTAGTTATGCGATGTTCCCTCACGTTGCACAACGTCAGCCTATAAGCTTTGCGAAACGGGCTGGGACATGCGAGCTCCCAAATCCCAAATTCCGATTCTGACCCGGGGGTCGCATCAGGACTCCCATCCGCGCGAGAAGTTTCTGCCACAGCGGAGGAGACTTTATCGATTCGGGTGTGATTTCTGTGAAGGCCTGAAAAGTTGCAGCATTCAGGTCCCCTAGTCATCGCGGACCCTAAATCCTCAACTCTAAACCCAAAGCTTTCATCTCAAACCTAAAACCCTTGTTCTAAAAACCGGATTCTTTTCTCGAGACAGTCCCGGAGGGTTTGTAATTTCAGATACAGGCTTGAAAGGAGAGACTGAGGCTTTCTGCGCGAGTCCCTTGTTGTTCTCATGGATTGTAGACTCCAAAAGCCTTCAAGTCCACCCGAAAGCCGAAACCCTAAACCCTGAACTTAACCCGGCAAGATCGGAACCTATGAAGCCGTGCCTGCCTGCCTGCGAGTGTGAGAGTCGAAACGTAACCCATCTCTTCGCGTTGTTCCAATGGCTTCGAAGAAGTCTGGAGCGGCTTCGCCCGGAGCTTCCGCTGAGTCGCAGATAGAAACGTGCCTTCCCCGTGCCATGCGCGGAAGCCTTGGAGTTCAAGTTTTAATGAACTGATTAATCAGTGATGATATATCCTTAATGTCGCGACTATGATTGCAGCAATAATTGTAGTGTAATATGCCACAGAATTAAGCCTTTTCTAGTTAAGCACCTCTCTTGAAGGACCTGAGGTTTGTGCGAAGCCCCAGCACCCGGAGGACAGAGATCCAACTGGCGCAGATCGAGAACAGCGGGTACAGGGCTCAAATCGGTCAGCACAGCCAGACCCCGGCCATGGATGATACAGGGGCCTTGATACTTCATTAGAGTAGGGTTTTGGGGCATACTAAGTAATATGTATAAGACCCGAAGGAACATTTTTTGCTGGAAGCTGGGTTTCGATCTTGAAGGTGCTGTAGTGCAGATGTTGATGATCACAAGACGGTGTCAGTGGCTTTGTTGCCGCTGCTCTTGCTGCAGCTGGCGGTGTTTCTGTGGCTGGTTGTGCATTTGTTGGTGATGGTGGTGGTGCGTAGGATGTGACGAAATCCCGTCTGCAAGCCTTCGGATATTTCTCAGCTTCAGTAGTATTTGCACGCATGCGTTTCGCGGTTTATGTAGGCAGACTACTGCTATATCTTCTCCCAGCCTTAGACAGCCTGCAGTCTCCGTGCGCAGCAAGAAGTTCGGAACATCAAGTGGCCGAAGCTGGCAATCACCGCCTGTCTAGGTCAGTCTTCATGATGCAGCAACTACTATAGGGGCCTTAATCATTAGAATAGGTTTTTGGGGGTATTTTATACTATAATTATAAGGAAGACCCTATTCTAATTATTAAGGCCCCCTACTGTAAGCATGGGCAGCCTCGAGCAGCGCAGCCTAAGCCCTGACCTGCAATTTAGGGTTTAGGGTTTAGGGTTCGGGCTTTTAGGGTTTAGGGTTTAGGGTTTAGGGTTTTAGGGCCTGTTACAAAAGGGTCTAACAGGCCAAGCAGCGAGCCAAACATCCCAGCCCTAAGCCCGTAAGCCGTCGGCCCCAAGGTCTTGCGGCCCTAAGCCTCAGCCTGAAATGACCTTCAACCCTGAACCTTAATGAATGGGGCCTTGATAATGAGTTAGGTTATAATATGTTAGAAGAGGGTCTTGGAGTATGTTATGCCATAATAATCATAAGGAGCCGCCGAAATAGTATTGGTAGTTGTTTAGGCCCCTGTATTAACTGGAGTTGCGCCGTGTCTTTCCGGCGCGCGCACCAAGAGACTTCGACTGGCCAGCCGAGTGTAATTTTCGGGGTTTAAATAATTACCAATACTATTTTGTGGGGCTCCTTATTATGATTATGGTATAACATACCCCAAAACCCTATTCTAAGTATTAAGGCCCCTACAGTAAACATTAAACCCCGAAATCGATTGCCTCCGGATCACAGGTCCTGGCAAGGCTTCAAAGAGCGGACGGCTAGCATGTTCGACGATACAATCCCGCTCCTCGGTTTAGGGAGTGGGGTCGAGGGTTGTGGCTTTAGTGCTTTGGCTTGCGAGGGGCTTCGGGGTTAGTTTAGGGCTTAGGGTTTATAGGGTTCGGGGGTTTGGGTTCAGTGTTCTGGGTTTTGGGGTCTTAGGTTTTGGGTTTTAGGCTGGCCTATGGGTTTGTTCTCATTGCGCTTCCGCTGTTCGCTCTACCTATTAGCACACAGTTTGTCTAAACAGTTGTGCTTGTTGTTTGCTTCTCGTTGCTGGAGAGACCTTCGTTTATTTAAGTGGGTTTTGACACAAGCCATGAAGCAAGAAGCCTCCAATCTGTGTACAGTGTTTTCACCCGTCCACTTTGAGAGTTTAGAGGCAGAGTCGAAGTTGGCTGTTGTTCCCACTCCTCTGCTGCCCGAATTTCCCCAGAATTAGACAACTGGTCTTGAAACCCTGAGTACTCAACCCCGATGGCCACACAACACAGGTCTTATGTTGCCTGAAAGCCTCTCGAAGGACTTGAATTTGCCAACTGCTATGCATCATCGGTGCAGGTGTGTACCAGAAGCTATCATCGAGAACAGGCAGCACTTCATGTAGCAGACTGCGATAAACTCGTTTACAGCACGGAACGCCTAGGTATGCTCCTCCTAGCTTCTTGTGTTGTTCTGAGATCGAGGTGTCCATACATGTTCAAACGGAGAAAGATCATTGTCTCTCCCACACGAAGAGAGCCTGCAACAACAAAGCCGACAATCCAGAAACGATGTGACTCGAGACAATTGACCTCTTCTCGCTTGGTCGTTTCGAGCCTATGGAACTTCTGGCTGCCGAAGCCGAGGAAACGCTATTCAATCAGCAATTCGAGGCGGAAGCGAGGGGATAGTTCCGGGTTCCCTAAACCCTCAGCCCTAAACCGTGTCGGCAAGCCGGCTACGGCTAGAGCTGTGCCCTTCGAAGCGTACCACCGTCGTCTTTGCAGCGGAGCCCAAACCATGTTTTTGGCTTTAATCTGGGGGCCGGAGCAGGTAGGGGGGGGAGCCGGGTCTGCCTAGCCTTGAACCATGTTAGGGCTTGGAGTTCAGGATCTAGGGTTGTCCATGCTTGCTATCCACCGCTCGTAGCCTCTAGGGAGCTAGACTCCTGAAAATCCTCTCACAGGTGGTAGGATTGACCGTAGGTCTCAGAGCTATCAGATGTAGACTGGCGAGCTCCACCACAGCTTGCAGGTATGCCAACGAACAGGCGAAGTTGCAGGTGGCTTGTCTGCTCGGGTTCCTGTAAGATCCAGGAGGAGCAGTATAAGATAGTCCCTGTCGCTGTGCAGGAGATGAAGGAGCTTCATGGATTCCAGTTCTTGACATTCGTCAGGTGGAAGACAGCCGAAAATACATGCATGCTCACAGACAGACCACAGATAGAAGCAGACGCATAAATGCATACATGCATGCATGCACCCCCACACACTCTCTCTCTCTCGCTCTCTCTCTCTCTCTCTCTCTCTCTCTCTCTCTCCCTCCCTCTCTCTCTCTCTCTGTGTATGATACTCACATGAGTATGTACTTGCGTACTTGTATTTGTCTATGTTTATTTTGCATAATACATATGCATACATACATACATACATACATTCATTCATTCATTCATTCATTCATTCATTCGTTCATACATTCGCACATACATACACACACACATACATACATACATACATACATACATACATACATACACGCATACCGAAGTGTAGAATAGAAGAGAGGCCGTAGAGCTTGAGCCGGCGTTTAAAGAAGTCGGCCTCCAAGGCCAAGCGCACGAGCAAAGCCGAATTTCGTGCTCGCCGTGGAGATACTGGGCTACAGAGTTTAATGGGAAGTTCTCTAAACTAGGGTCCCGCTTAAGGCCCCCAAAATACATAGTACGGCACCCTCTTAAACAGGAGCCAAGAAGGGACCCTAATATAGATAACTGCCAACTCTGCGGATTGGGGCGTTGTGCGCATCTTGAAGCTCTGGAATATGGGTAGTTCTCTACATTAGGGTCCCTGTACGGCACCCTTATGATTAAAATAGAAGATAGAAACCCTGAAAAGGGAACCCCAGTTTGGAGAACTACTTATATACTCCTTTTGAAACATGCCCCGGAGCTGAAAAATTCGGGAAGGACATGCCCAGGAATTGAGAGCTGTTCACGAGGAAGCTTCATAGTCGGGCACGTTCGTGTTATTGTGGCAGCTGCTTTTCTGTACAGATCACTATATCACTCAAGAAGCATGCAGCTTTCATCGCCTCGTACGTGGTCTTTGGCACGTTCAACTTCTTCTGTTCTTCTGCTGATCATCTGCAGTGACCAGACAACTTTTTGCTGCCATCATCTAAGCATCGCGAATGCTATCGGTGGCATCAGCATTATCATATTCGTATGTTCTCACACAACAAGAGGCATACTGTCGGAGCACAAAGAAGTGCAGCAGCATTCGTAGACTTGAATCCAAAAGCTGAGTGAAGAGCAAGCCTGCTGGACTTGGCCGAGGAGACAGTGACGCACAGTGCATCCTGTTCCTCAGCTGGGTTGTGAATTTCCATTTCAAGAGCTCGCAACGGTTTTAGTGTGCCCGAGCCGCTCTGCTGCTACGATATGTTCAATGCCTTGTACCTGAACGGCTCTGCAGTGCAAGTTCCGGACCAGAATGAACGCAAGTCTAGCAAAGAGGTGGCACATCCGCCCGGGGCTCAGGTCCAAGCCTGCATCTGACTGCGCCGGAACAGTCGCTCGATCGCTCCATGCGCGGCGACACGCGGAAGGAGGCCCAGCCGAGTGAGTGATACAACGAGGGATCAGCAATGCCGTCTCCAACGCCTATATCGGTACAAGGTGCAGTGCAGCAGTGTCCGGTACTTGCGGCTGGTGCCCCGGAACCAAGATTACCCCTGTCAGACGCTGCTGTGAGAGAAGTAGTTGAAAGATTATCTATTTATATCTATATATATATATATGTGTGTGTATATATATATAATTACACTCATTTGGATGAAGCCACCTTCTGTGAAAGGCTGAACTGATGGACTATAGGTATAAGCGAGCCAAGACGAGACAAGGCTGAGTCTATTCCCGTTAAATCTCCAACCTATCCTTCTACAGGGCAACAGTTCTCTGAGGCTTCAACCCCGCACCTCAAATTCTCCGCTTGTCCTGCTGATAAGTCTCGCAGTTCGTCTATTCCGGCCAGGTTTCCCAGCTGCAGACGGAAAGCAATCTGACTGCAAGAGTGACAGCTTATGTGCATGGAGAGGCAATCGCCCTCCGTGTTTCCTAGAGACAGGGTGAAGCCGCGTTTTGCCCAAGCCCGAGCTTGCCCGCCTGATCCCATGCGTGAAAAAGCTCCGGCACTGAGGTGCTCACTTTGCGCCATGGATGTCCTACAACACCCTGTCAGGATCCATCGATGGAACCGCAGCAGGCGAGAAGAAGGATGCACGAGCTGCCATGGTAGAGATGTCAAGGTGTTCAGGCGAAGGTAGGTGTGCGTCTTGTGCAATATGTACGCACTCGCGGATTAGGTGGACACCGCGCAAGGAAACCATGCAAAGGTGTTCTTGCACAGATCGTATCTTCAGGTCACAGCCCGCTTCATCAGTCTGGCATGCGCCTCTTAGGAGCACTTATCAACTTTAAGGAAGCCCCAAAAACATCTCTCAAGTGGAAGACCAGGAAGTATATAGATGGTACAGAAGAGGCGTTTCGAACTTCTCCTGCACAGTCGTCCGGATGCTGTTGGGTCTAATGAGTCTAGTGGACAGCCCCTGCACATTCGATGCTTGGCGTTCTCAGACTCTTTCTCAGTATCAAGTGAACCCGAAGCTCCCTCGGACCCAGGACGACCCGTTCTAGCGCTTGCAGGTCGTGCCCACGCTGCAGCACAGAAACATCTCTCGGTGAGCCGCCTGGAGAACTTCGACTTTGTGCCCCGGCTGCTGCGGCTACGGGCGTTTACGGGTTGTGAGCTTCAGGGCTTTAGGGTTTTAGGGCGTTCAGGGCATGACAATGTCGGGAATGGTCGGACAGGACTCTTGCACTTGAGTGAATGCCTTAGCGGATTGAGGCCAATACTTGCCTCATGAAGCGAATCAGGAGGTGTGATCGGCTTACCGTTTTTGCACAGTCAGGTTTGCACTTCCTGAGCATTTGCTTAAGCAGGGGTCCTTCTCCAAGAAAAATGAACAAGCGAGGGCAGCCAGAAGCTTCGGGTACCCTATTTCGACGATTCGGTATTTCCAGTCTGAGCCATGGTGCTGGAAAGCACCTTTTGCTTGTCATGGGCTTTGTCGTGGCTTTCTGAAAATGCAAGAAGTCACCACCTTGTCAGGCAAGCTGCATGTCTCATCTTCACCCCGCCCCCCGTTAAATTAAAGGCCGCTGTTGCTTGCATGCATTGCTTCTCCTGGATCACGTATCTCGTTGGTCCCGTCTTAGGAGGTTTCTTCAGGCAAAGTCCGCACAGCTTCTCATAAACGCGCATCCTTTTTCATCCGTTATGAAGAACACGACTGGGGCCTCAAGACTTCCATAATACCACTAGTTCAACCATGTTTCACAGCCCTCGGCTCCGGGCTTCTCCAGGGCGTCGCGCGGGCTAACAACCACTACTCCGCGGCGGACAAGCTGACTAGAGCTGATCCCTTCTACATGCGCCCGCGGGTAGGTGCTCAGGGAACGTCGTGAAAAGAAAGTATTGTTGCGGTTGCTAACTGATGGTTTTGTTCGGGGTGTAGTTGTAGCGATGGTTGTGCCCGTCGTCGTCACAGCCATCCCCGTCGTCGTTGTCGTCGTCCTCGTCTCCGTCTATTATGTTTGTCGTGATTGTTATGGTCGTCGTCGCAGGTCTAAGTGGCTTAGATTTTGTCGTGGTGCTGGGTGGTCGGGGTCTTGGTCGTCGTTGTAAGACTATCAGCAGCGCAACTATATTGTATCTGCCTTTGTCGCTGGTAGTACAGTCATTATCACCACCGCTGCCACTACTCCTGCTGCTGCTACCTCTGCTGCCACTGCCACTAAACGTAAACGACGACGACGACAATGACGACAATTGAAACTACTGCTGCTGCTGCTGCTGGTGCTCCTGCTGCTGCCTTGTGTTCTACTGCTCCTGCTGCTAGTTTTTACTACTACTACTACTACTACTACTACTACTACCACTACCACTACCACTACCACTACCACTACCACTACCACTACCACTACCACTACCACTACCACTACCACCTGGCGCTTCCACAGCGCACCCGC